TGAAAAGAATTTAGTTTCCAGACCACACAATGACTGAATCTTAGGATTTTGTCATTTAAAAACTCCAATTTTTAGGTCCTTGGGTAGTGATAGAATTGTATCATGTTTAATAATAACACGTATTTATTTGAGTAGTGTGGACCTTAGGACTTTGGTGCAAAGAGGAATGATCTTTCACACTTTCCCCTGCTCAATGTTCATTTTTAATTCAGTAAGTCTCATATTTGATAAACATTGAAATTCCAGAAATCAGAGTTCTTGACTGCATTCTGACTCAGCCAAAAACTGCCTGGCTAACTCAGACAGAAATTGAATTTCTTTAAAAAAAAAATATTGTGTTAGAGGAAAGGCTGTTTTAGGGTGCTAAAATTATGTTTTATATCTGCTTGAGCTATGTTGACCAAAAAGTCCATTTTGGGGGCACTCCTGATTTTATTTATTTATATATATGTATATATATTTTTCCCGTTTTTTTAATGACGTGTTTCTTTTGGAACTAGAATGGACTTAGGAAAATAAGTGACNGCCGGCCCTCAAAGGTTAATATTAAACTAGGCATGCAGAGCCCCTACTTAAGTTGTATTTGAGAGTGAGAGGCGCTCCCATTATTAATAACAAAACTGTTAAAATCAGAGATTATTGCTTAATGTGTGTGTGTGTGTGTGTGTGTGTGTGTGTGTACTTGAGACCAAGCAAGAAAAGGAGGTGCTACATTTATTAAGCGCCAGCTATGTGCCAGGTATTTTATATACATTGTCCTTGTATGAGGTAGGTACAATTACTATCCCCATTTTACAGATGATGTAACTGCGACTTAGGGGACTGTGCAGCTTGCACAGGGTGCGAGGTGATAAAGCTGAGATTCAGACTCAGGTCTGCTAGGATCCCAAGCCCTGCCCCCCTCCTTTTTTTTTTCTGAGTACCCTGTATGCCAGACCAAAAGACTTAGGGGCAGAAAAAGAAGACTGGATTGACCCACAGTGCAGTTGGGAAGGGGAAAAGTTTGGAGTTGAGGGGCTTGGAAGGATGCATGCCAGTTAACTCTATTTTCATTCATGCCCAATATTCCTGCATCTTCAATTATGGGCACTTAGCTTCCTAGCTTGAGCCTCAACTGTGTTCTCTTCTGGGATTCAGCAGCTCTGGCCTGTCTGCCAAGTGGAGAGTCTGGGCGAGAGAAAAAGACATTAGCTTGAGGAGCTGAAGAGCCTCAGAGGGAACTCATCCCAGAGAAGGAGGAGGCAGCACAGTGAGTTTGCCTGAGCTTCAGTGCCTCAGAGAGAAGTGAGCATGCTCACTGGTCCAACACTCATCCTACCCCGTCCACTTTCCTTCCATCTCTCCTTCCAGAGGCACCAGACCCGCATCCAGGTGTGAAAGTTCTCTCTGGCTTCTCCTGATCTCTCTCTAGTAAACCTTTTACACCTCTAACCTTGCCTTGGAGTTTGCTTCTTGCAGCACTTGAACTAGCACAGAAACATTGTCCCAGCACCTTCTCCTGTGTTCCAGGATGTTAGAAAGCTCTAGCACAGTGAATGAAGGGAGCCTTGAGTGCCTTGTGGATGTGGGCTTGTTTATAAACATATTTGACTCCGCCTTCATCCCAGGGACTAGAGGACACACCTGGAGACCCTTTGCAGAGGATGAGATACCCGGTAAGCAGGTGGGACAAGATCCCATGAAACTTGGCTACCGCTGTTTATGTGACCCCATTGGTAGCTATAGGAGGTGAGATATGATACCTGGAAAAACTGAGTTTATAAACACACAATGCAAATATCATACTGAACCAATAACAACGGCTATCATAAGCAAGATGAATCCCATGTTTCAGTTTCTATAGCAAGAATCATAAAGTCATGTTATATTTATAAATTAGGCAAAACAATAGCAGACATATTTACTGCTTGCTACATGCCAGGTGCTGTACTAGCTTTTCACTTGATAACCCTAAGGCAGACACTCTCTATCCATTAACCCCTTCTTCTATGCTCATAACACCTTGCTTTTGTTTGAGAAAACAATGTGCCAGCCCCAGGTAATGGCTTATGTCACACAATAATGTTCCTGTTCTCTGTAGTTCCAGCTTCTTTTGCACTGAGGGTTGGCCACACAGCCCAGTTCTGTCAGGGAGACCTAAGCAGAGTGGGATTAGGGGACTGGGAAGGCTACAGGGCACAATCCCTCACCTCCTCAGGTCTTTTTTCAAATGTCACCTTCCCAGTAAGACCTAACCGGAACACGCTGTTTAAAACTGTAGTCCCTGGCAAAGAGTATGCACGCAAAACACCTTTTTTTCCTCCTTTGAGCAAACACATGAGAACAAACTAGGGAAAATCGCCAGAGAAAACGCAGAACAGTGAACACAAAGGCCCTGGGACAAAACACACCTGGCATATTTGGTGACTAGGAGGAGGCTGGCAAGACAGGGCGGCGTGATGGAGGGGAGGAGAATGAGAGATGGAACCAGGGCGACAGCGGAGGGTCTGATCACACGAGGGCCTGAAGGTCACAGTGAAGCTTTCGGCTCATACGTGAGTGTGATGGGAAGCTGAGGAGGGCAGCCCCTGACTTGCACCTGACATTACCATCTGGCTGCTGTTGAGAGAGATGGAAGGAGGCAATGCACATGCATGGAGAACAGCTAGAAGGTTACTCCAACCGTCCGTCTGGTGGTGGCATGGACCATGATAGTAGCAGTGAGGATGGAGAGAAGTGATCAGGGGCTGTGTGTATGTATGTGTGTGTGTGT